CTGCAGGACAAATGATTAGACTTTAACTTTGGGAAGAGGAATTCTTGAATCAAGTCTCTGCTTTAATGCTAACAGCAATCATTAGTGCAAAATAGTGTTTGTATGTCAGGATGTCTAAAATATATGTGTCTTTACTGATATTAAAGAGCATCTGTGTTGAGAAAGACTCTGATCTAATGCAGTAAAGCAGCTCCAGAGGTCTGATGTAATCAACACACACCATCAGTCATGTATAATATCATTATGAATAATCACATGACTTTGATCCTATACTTGTAATATTATTTAAAAGCGACTGCAACAGAGTTAAATAAAAAAGTATCTTTATTCAATTGCATTTACATGTAGCAAGTAGTTTTTTAATTTTTGGTCAAATTTATATTTTATATATAGACATCCCATGTTGGTGTCCACATCAAATTAAACTTACAAAAAAGTGATTTTATATACACAGAAAGCATATGCAAATAAACGGTCTACTTGAATGTTTCAAATAACATTTGTGAAAATGTCTAAAAATGGGTGAAATAATATATTTAATAATATATTTATTTATTTTACACTGAATGAAGATGGAACATTATTTCTCCATTTAAACTACATACTTATTCTGACCTGTACTTATTGAAATATATAAAAGAAAAGGTGATTATTTATTATTTATTTAGTGCTTATACAGCAAAAATTTGGTATATGAAGTATTGTTACACTGAACAACATTTTTCTGTAAATCATGGTATGAAAACATACACACACACACACAAACAAACACACACACACACACATATATATACTGTATATATATATATATATATATATATATATATATATATATATATATATATATATATATATATATATATATATATATATATATATATATATATATATATATATATATATATATATATATATATATATATATATATATATATATATATATATATATATATATATATATATATATATATATATATATATATATATATATATATATATATGTATATATATATATACTGTATATATATATATATATATAAACAGTTCTGCTTCTAAAAGTTATTGCATATTAAAATTACTGATCTGTATGTGTGAATCCTGTTCAGAAACTGAATTGAATTTGTGTTTTATTTTTTAACACAATATCAGTGTAAGAACATTCAGTTCTGTGTGTCTATATGTAGACTGTATGTGAGACGCTGTGAATGAATGTTTGATGTGGAGCTGTGTTTTACTCCGTGTGCTTCAGCAGCCGACCTGAACACACCACACACATCATATACAGCAGCACTCTCCTGCTATACCTGTCTGAACAAGTTCAGTTGTATCTTATCTCACATACTGTACATTCTACAAATTCTCAGTCGGTGGCATTAAAAACACTATTGATAATGTGAATGAAGGCTGCACTGATTAATCACGTCTCGTTATGATAATGCAACTGCAGCCGGACCCGCCGAGACTCCAAACGCTGACTAAACGCCTGGTTCTGTTCCAAATGCAAAGTCAGATTGATTGCATCTGTCTCGGGCTCTGCACTAAATTACTCTCAAAACTCTCCAGTTGCACTCCTGCCATCAATACTACAGTAAAACCACAGCGAAACAGAAGCAGCTGCACTGTTTTCACACATATGCGTCAATCACCCAGTCAAATAATAAACTCATTAGAAATTAAACAGCGCCACCATGTGAACACAACTTTCTGATTGTCAGTAATTACAATGATCTGATGAGCTCAATCAGCGTTGTTTGCGTTCAGGATAAAGCGCGTGCATGCTGAACATAAACTGTGCTGATTACGTTGATTACGTTCTGGGGTACTCTCCAATATGTTGGAAGACGGTAACTCGGGGACATGAATTGTTGAATAAATTATGTTATTATTGTTTTCTTTGTGCACAAAAAGTATTCTCGTAGCTTCGTAAAATTACGACTGAACCACTGATGTCACATGGACTGGTTTACTGATGTCCTTGCAATGTTTCTGGACTTGGGAACATTTCAGTTGCATTGCTGTCTATGGGAGGGTCAGAGAGCTCTCAGAATTTTTATTTTTGGGTGAACTATGCCTTTAAATTTTATTAAGATTTTAAATTAGGTTTTTTTGTTTTGTTTTCATTGCAACTTTAGTTAAAGTGTTTTTGTCATTTTTAATAGTTTTTTTTTTATTTTTTTTTTTTAAGTATGTCTATATAGTTTTCATGCCTTTTTATTTTAGTTCTAGTTTTATTTTTAGTTATTTTAAAACATTAAGTTAAATGAAAATAAAAAATTTTGTTTGGCAACTAGTTGAAATAAAATGCATCATTTATTTCAGTTAAAATGTGCTTTAAGTAACAAAAATGTTTGTTTTTTTGGTAACACTTTATTTTACGGTGTCCTTACTATTATACGGTATACTTACTATTATAATAACAATAAATGATGCATAATTACATGCAAGACAAACCCTAATCCTAACCCTAACCATATAGTAAGTAGGGGTGTGCGCTATATATCGTCTGCGATAATATCGTAACTGTTGTTTTAACTTTCATTATCTGTATGCCATAATCATCAAAATTTCAAGAAATAAAGGCTTGAAATATTTCACTCTATGTGTAATGAATCTATATAATATATGGGTTTCACTTTCTGAAATTAGTGACAAAAAATATTGACCTTTTTCATGATATTCTAATTTTTTGAGATGTACCTGTAGATGCCACTTCAGATGCAGCTTCTGTGTTGATTTAATTTGCTTGGTAACAGCCCAAATGTCTTATTATTCTAATTCCCTGATTAAATGTAAGAATTTGACTCAAAAGATAATAGACGCTTTTAGAAAAAATGGCTTTATAAAGGTAAAAATGCCCATAAAATGCAAAAATCAGTTTAAACTTATTGGAAAAGATTAATTTCTATCAGTATGAACTGACCACCACACAGAATATGAAGAATATTAAAAACATTAGGAGTCAGCTGTCTTCAGCAGTCCTTAAGGTACCAGCACAATAATACACTCAGCAAAATATCGTCTAATTATCGTCATCGATAAAATCCCAGAAAATATCGAGATATTATTTTTTGTCAATATCGCACACCCCTAACAGTAAGTACATATAGTTAATTATTATTACTCAGTACTTAAATATATAATTACACTGTAACAAGGACACCTTAAAATAAAGTGTAACCTTTTTTTTATTAATTATAATAACCCTGCTAATGACTGATTACTGTAAGACAGAGTTGCTCTTCCTCCAGGGGGCGTCAGTGGCTCAGAAACCACAATCTGCCATTGAGATGCATTCAGATCTCAGTCTGAATGTGTTATTTGAGACATTTGTACAGTATACAGTACTTTAAATAAACTAATACTAAATGTTTTAATATATTAAATCAAAAGTTTTGCGCCTGACATACAAATGCAGTCTCTATAGGACAGACCGGGGCTAGTTGTCACATTTTAAAAACTGCTTCTCCATGTCTGTTCATGTGATATACAGATATACAGTAGGCAGATCAGAGTGAGTTAATAGAGCAGCTGTCAGATAGAGAGAGAGTGTGTGTGTGTGTGTGTGTGTGTGTGTGTGAGAATTCTATTTTCGGAACGGTTTTTATTTTCTGCGACGTCGCAGCAGGAACAACATACAAAATATGACAGTGATAATCTCAGGTAATGATTATGTGCTTTATTCAATGTTAAAAGTGTCTAATGTGAGTTTGAATATTATTCTGCGTGATCTTTATAGCCATAGTGAAAGCAACAATAGATATTTTACCTCAGATCTTGAAAATAAATTAAAGCAAACTTGTACGTTAAAACTGTGAACTCACTGCGAACCAACACGTGTATTCCATCACAAAGATATCACTCACTCACTCACTCACTCACTCAAAACTGTTCAGTCCATTCACATCTGAATCATCTATTTTCCGTGTCCACTTTTCTTTTCTACACACTCGCCATGTTTTGCTGTCACATCGTATCTACACTGGACGCGACAAAGCATTGCAGATCATTTGAACGTTGTGTCAGTACGTTATAAATAGAACGAGTCAGCAGTTTACTGTCGGGGATTTGTCGTGCCGCGCCGCATCCAAGACAGCATCACTGATTATAATGAGTTCTATTGTATTTTATTGCACCGCGCCGCTCACGTCCGGTGTAGACACGATGTAAGTTAATGTAGCTTTCTTATTCTGCTTTTGAATTTTCATGCCACATTATTTGAAATTAGCACGGGCCAAACTTTTTTCTCTCACGGGCCGGCTGTGGCCCGCGGGCCGCCTATTGAGGAACCCTGCTATCGATACTCCTGTTTATATTACTAGAGCCCTCCTGTTTTTGTGCCCAGATGATTTTGAATTAAAGTATGATCTAAAATAATTAAGTTGATAACCACTGTAGAAGTTTACCCAACTATGACGACTTCTGTTTCTGGAGAATCCGGAAATGTGAAAAGCGCCAACTTGAAGGTGAAAATTGTTTTTCTAAAATGCTGCAAGCAAAAAAATTCCTTTATATGTGCAACTTTGGCAAATCAATTGAGTCTCTGTTGTGCAGATCATTTGCTGTAAATGTATTCATGTATTCATCTCATCCTGTCATCAACATCAGCACAGAACATATACAACAGCATTCATGTCATTTTGTTGATATTTTGAGCCTGTCTTCAATACAATTCCTCACTCTTCATCAATGTGAAGAGCTGTTCACACCAAGAATGATGATAATCAGAATGACTTTCTTCCAGATAATGAACAGTAAAAACATTGACAGCCAATCAGAATCCATCCTGCTTTAAAGAGCTCGAGCATTTAAAGGGTTAAAAACAATATACTGCACTTCATTTCAGTATCAACTTTGCTTCGCATATTTCTCCTGAACTACCCCAGCATGAATTAAAACACACCTACAGGAGTAAATAGTTGTTTACATAAGAGTGCAGTGCTAAAAAATGAATTTGATGACTCTTTGAGACCTTGAGGAACTCTAGAGGAGTCCTTTCCGCTGTGTTTCTGTCTGTCTCTCTGTGTTCAGAGTGAACTCATGCTCTGCTGTCTGTGTGATGAAGGACGACGTGAAGCTCGCAGTGAACTAACATCAACTGCAGACACACACACACCCAGTAGTGTGATCAGTTTCACATGACCTCTGGACTGATTGCTTTATTTCATTACACTTATTACTGATGCTGAGCTGCTGGAACCAGTGCAAACCCAGCAACAGAAAACACTCTCACAACTTTATCTAACGCTTTTTTAATGTTAGGACAAAAGTTCTTAAAGTAATGTTCTTATAACTGTATTAATATTTGATATATGCTCTCATAACCTTGAGAGAAACCGTCTGACCAACATTCTTTAAACGTCCTTATGATGAGATTCTCAGTGTTGAGAGCAAATGCTGTTAGAATATTAAAAATACATTTTGGGTGAAAATAAAGTTAGTAGAATGTTGTAAGAAACTTATTAGTAACCTTTAAATAACTTTCTAAGTACAATAAGAAAACTGGGCATTTTAGCGTTCATAGAATATTACAAATATTATATTTTCAGTAAAAATATAGTTAGGAAAATGCTGTAAGAAATGTTTTTGTAACTTTTAAACAACGTCATAATAACGACAAGTAACATTTACAGTTTTTCTCAATTGCTTTGGCTCAATTCTCGAATGAAACTTTTTTTTTCCCGAAACAATAAGTTCAGATCTCTGAACAATTAGCTTCTTGTTCACATCTGCACTCACAGTTTAGAGAATGTTAAGATTGTTTCGAAAAATGTGCCAAAGCAATTGAGAAAAACTGTAAAAACAATGTTCCCACAACGTTTTTATAACCTAAATGTGTCACATGATCCCTGTCTGAGCATACAGCAGAACGTCCCCAGCACTGAAGCTTTGCTTGTGAATGATGCTGAACGTTTGTCACGAAGGATCCTCTATAAAGCACTGAGTAAAGATAATCAGTGCTACAGCTGTTTCATTTCCTCAGGAACGGGATCACCTGCAATGCAGAGGGCTTTGCGGGTGAGACGGGTGTTGTAAATGTCCTGGAGGGAGGGGAGAGAGAGAATTTTATTGATTGATGAAATGCTCTAGTGCAGAGGTTCTCAACCTTTTGGAACTAAAGCCCCCCAAAGCCTCACCTATCATGTGGCATGCCCCCCAACCACCCAAAATAAACAATTTATGAAGCAGACCAGGAATAATGATTCATTGGATAAAATATATCTATATAAATCCTATCTTTTGGATGGATGGATAGATAGATGGATGATAGATGATTAGATGATGGATGGATGGATGATATATAGATGGATAGATAGATGATAGATGGATAGATGAATGGATAGATAGATGGATAGATGGTAGATGGATAGATGAATGGATAGATGGATAGATGGATAGATAGATAGATGATAGATGGATAGATAGGTAGATGATAGATGATAGATGGATAGATGAATGGATAGATAGATAGATAGATAGATAGATAGATAGATGATAGATGGATAGATGAATGGATAGATATATGATGGATGATGGATAGATAGATAGATAGATAGATAGAAGCAGCATCCACCTCCGAAAGCATTGACAGCATTTATTGTATGTCTGCTCGTTCCAAGTAATTTATATCATATATGAAAATTATTATATTCAGTGGCTTCTGCTATATTCTTAGTGATATTTAGTGCCACAGTTTACCAGGAAGTGACGATTTTGTTCTCTTTGACTCGTTGGATTTAAATGGTGCTTTATTCGCATATGTTTTATGCGATATTCCAGTTTTGCGCATAAGTTTAATTTGAATCTTTGGATGGAAACATAGCTAATGATCACATCACATGAGCGAGTCTCTCTCAGAGCGCTGACATGCTCAACCGAGAATGCTTTCAGAGTGCAAAATAAATTAAACCACAACTCCACAATAACTAGAAAACATTTACACTGCCATTCAAAATAACAGTTTTTTTATTTTAATATACTTTCAAATATAATTTATTCCCGTGACGCAGAGCTGAATTTTCAGCATCATTACTCCAGTCTTCAGTGTCACATGATCTTCAGAAATCATTCTAATATGCTGATTTATTATCAGAGCTCGAACTGTTGTGCTGCTTCATATCTTTGTTTTTTTTTGGAACCTGTGATACTTTTTTCTTTGATTCTCTGATGACTAAAAAGTTAAAAAGAACAGCATTTATTTAAAACAGAAATATTTTCTAACAATATGTCTTTACTATCACTTTTAATCCATTTAACACATCCTTGCTGAATAAAAGTATTAATTTCTTCTTAAAAAAAAAAAAAAGACTGACCCCAAACTTTTAAATAGTAGTGTAGGCTATATTGTAACACAAAATTTTTATTTTGAATAAATACTGTTATTTTTACATTTTTATTTATCAAAGAATCCTGAAAAAAAGTATCACAGGTCCCAAAAAATATGAATTGATAATAAATCAGCATATCATAATGATTTCTGAAGATCATGTGACACTGAAGACTGGAGTAATGATGCTGAAAATACAGCTTTGATCACAGGAATAAATTACAGTTTAAAGTATATTAAAATAGAAAACTGTTATTTTAAATTGCAATAATATTTCACAAAATTAAATTTTTTTCTGTATTTTTGATCAAATAAATGCAGCCTTAAAGGGTTAGTTTACCCAAAAATGAAAATTAGGCTGTGTTTTACTCACCCCCGAAGCATCCTAGGTGTATATGACTTTCTTCTTTCAGACGAATCCAGTCGGAGTTATATAAAAAATTGTCTTTGATCGCATCCGCCTCTGAAAGCAGTGACAGCATTTATTGTGTTTCGTCTGCTCGCTCTGAGGCGCAAGTCATTCATCATATATGAAAATTATTATATTCAGTGGCTTCTCCTACTTTTCTTAGTGATATTTAGTGCAGTTTATCAGGAAGTGACGATTTTGTTCCCTTTGACTCGTTGGATGGAAACGGTGCTTTATTCGCATATGTTTTATGCGATATTCCAGTTTTGCGCATAAGTTTAATTTGAATCTTTGGATGGAAACATAGCTAATGATCACATCACATGAGCGAGTCTCTCTCAGAGCGCTGACATGCTCAACCGAGAATGCTTTCAGAGTGCAAAATAAATTAAACCACAACTCCACAATAACTAGAAAACATTTACACTGCCATTCAAAATAACAGTTTTTTTATTTTAATATACTTTCAAATATAATTTATTCCCGTGACGCAGAGCTGAATTTTCAGCATCATTACTCCAGTCTTCAGTGTCACATGATCTTCAGAAATCATTCTAATATGCTGATTTATTACAGTTTTGCTGCTTAATATTTTTTTTGGAACCTGTGATACTTTTTTCTTTGATTCTCTGATGACTAAAAAGTTAAAAAGAACAGCATTTATTTAAAACAGAAATATTTTCTAACAATATGTCTTTACTATCACTTTTAATCCATTTAACACATCCTTGCTGAATAAAAGTATTAATTTCTTCTTAAAAAAAAAAAAGAATAAATTTACTGACCCCAAACTTTTCAATACTAGTGCATGTTGTAACACAAAATTTCTATTTTGAATAAACGCTGTTCTTTTTAACTCTTTATTTATCAAAGAGTTCTGAAAAAAGTATCACAGGTCCCAAAAAATATTAAGCGGCACAACAATTTCCAGCACTGATAATAAATCAGCATATTAGAATGATTTCTGAAGATCATGTGACACTGAAGACTGGAGTAATGATGCTGAAAATACAGCTTTGATCACAGGAATAAATTACAGTTTAAAGTATATTAAAATAGAAAACTGTTATTTTAAATTGCAATAATATTTCACAAAATTAAATTTTTTTCTGTATTTTTGATCAAATAAATGCAGCCTTAAAGGGTTAGTTTACCCAAAAATGAAAATTAGGCTGTGTTTTACTCACCCCCGAAGCATCCTAGGTGTATATGACTTTCTTCTTTCAGACGAATCCAGTCGGAGTTATATTAAAAATTGTCTTTGATCTTTCAAGCTCTATCGTTGTACTCAGAGGGTGTTGCATGCATCAGTCCAAAAGACGTGAAATAAAAAGCGCCCATCCATAAAAAAAGTGTCTCACACGGCTCCGGGGGGTGAACAAAGGCCTCCTGTAGCGAATCGATGTGTTTTTGTAAGAAAAATATCCATATTCAAAACGTAATAATCACTTTAATGTAGCTTGCGCCAGCAGTTGTACACGGAAGCAGCTCCGGCGGATGACCTATGAGTTCAGTGCTGCGCATGCGCCGGTGAGTCTCGTGAAAACCAACGTTTGTTAACAGGAGCAAAAGAAGCAAAGTTTCCTTACTTTAGCAAAGGAAAACCAGTCTCCTCTTGGCTTATATCGAAATCCTCCGACATTCTTCTTTACAAATCCTCGTTTTGTAATTCTAATTAGTGACCATTGTTTTTGTTTTGATCTCTCCGCTGCGTTTCCGCGTTCGTCACTTCTGAGCGGCGCATGCACAACGCTGAACTCATTCGTCATCCGCCTGGAGCCGCTTCTGTGTACAACAGTGAGCGCAAGCTACATTAAAGTGATTATTACGTTTTGAATATGGATATTTTTCTTACAAAATCGCATCGATTCGCTACAGGAGGCCTTTGTTCACCCCCCGGAGCCGTGTGAGACACTTTTTTTTAATGGATGGGTGCTTTTTATTTAACTCCTTTTGGACTGAAGCATGCAACACCCGCTGACTGAAATGATAGAGCTTGAAAGATCAAAGACAATTTTTAATATAACTCCGACTGGATTCGTCTGAAAGAAGAAAGTCATATACACCTAGGATGCTTCGGGGGTGAGTAAAACACAGCCTAATTTTCATTTTTGGGTGAACTAACCCTCTAATGAGCAGAAGAAACTTCTTTAAAAAAAAACATTAAAAAATCTTATTGATCCTGTAGTGTATATCACAATTACTACTAGGTTTGTTGGTGCAATTTTATTATAACACAAAAACTCATTATTATTATTATTATGATCATTTAGAAATATAAACTATATCTCGTTCTGCTATGCTGACCCTTTCTCTTATAAGCAGAGAGTATTTCAGGTTCGTATAACTGTCATGTGTGATCAGATCAGCTCAGCACTGGAGTATAATATACTGCAGACTTCACTGCATCTACACTGCCTCAAGCAAACAGAGTCTAATAAGTCTAATAGGCCATGATCAAATCATACTATCTGCTGAATTTAGGCTTGAATTAGAGGAACGTCACAGAAAGGCAGATTCTTTATTTTCTGGTCAGTGCAGCCATGAGATGCAGCTTAGACGCTTCTGAAGTCCTGCTCCAGCAACAGAGCGCTTTAATCCTTCTGAAAATTCAATAATGGATCTCTGGGAAAGAGGGCTGGGAGTCACATGACAAGACTAAGAAATCAGAATAAACCTGGACGACTCAGATCAATAGCAGTGAGTTTGATTTCGCAAGCATAATTCCCAAATAACTCATTTTGGTTATTAAAACGCTGTGGGAACATTGTTTTGAAATGTTTCTAAAACACTGAAATGTCCTGTTTTCTTGTTGTGATTATAACAATATTTAAAGGTTACAAAAATGTTTCTTACACAGTTCCACTAACTTTATTTTCACCCAAAATATGTTATTTTAACATTAAAAAACATCTTGTTTTTACTTGCAATGTCCATCAAGTAACAAACAACATCATATGAACGTTCCAAAAATGTTCTAAGAATGTTCTCACAATGTTATGAGAAGGACATTCTGAGAACTTTATTTTCACCAAAATATAACGTTATTTGAATGTTTATTTGTGATTCTCGTCGTGATTAAAATTTTATTTTGAGCGGTCTCAAACTTTTCTTTAATTTTATTTTTACCCAAAACATAACATTATTTGAATGTTTATTTTTTAATATTCTATGCCATTTTAATATTTTCTCTTCGTGATTAGAACGTTATTTAACGGTTGCAAAAATTGTTTCTTACAACTTTATTTTCACACAAAATATAACGTTTATTTTTTAATATTCTATACTATTTTAATATTTTCTTTTCATGGTTATAACGTTATTTAACTGTTACAAAAATTGTTTCTTACAACTTTATTTTCACACAAAATATAACGCTATTTAAACATTTATTTGTAATATTGTAAAAACATTCAAATGTCCAGTTTTCTTGTTGTGATTAGACCATTATTTAAAGATTACAAAAACATTTATTTAATGTTCTACTAATTTTATTTTTACCCAAAATATAACATTATATGAACTTTTAGTTCTATAGTTATAAATAGTTATAAAGTTATAAATCTAGTTATAAATCTCTATGAACGTTAAAATGTCCACTTTTCTTGTCGTGATTACGTTATTTAAAGGTGACGGAAATATTTCTTAAACATTCTACTAAATTTAATTTTCACACAAAATATGACGTTATTTGAATGTTTATTTGTAATATTCAACTTTTTTTTTTTTTATTAGAACGTGAAAGGTGACTAAAACATTTTTAATGTTCTACTAATTTAATTTTTACACAAAATATAACGTTATTTATTTGAATGTTTATTTGTAATATTCTAAGAACGTTAAAATTTACCACACATTATTTAATTTTCAGATTTCAGTTTGAAATTTTCTTCTAAAATAAGAAGTTTTATCAGGCTCCTATGTACAGATTCAGTATTTTACCTTTAATGTCAATAAATAGGTTATTTTCATTGTCATTAAAGTGAAATAACTGAATATAAATAGGGGACGTTATTTGAATGTTTATTTGTAATATTCAACTTTTTTTTTTTTTATTAGAACGTGAAAGGTGACTAAAACATTTTTAATGTTCTACTAATTTAATTTTTACACAAAATATAACGTTATTTATTTGAATGTTTATTTGTAATATTCTAAGAACGTTAAAATTTACCACACATTATTTAATTTTCAGATTTCAGTTTGAAATTTTCTTCTAAAATAAGAAGTTTTATCAGGCTCCTATGTACAGATTCAGTATTTTACCTTTAATGTCAATAAATAGGTTATTTTCATTGTCATTAAAGTGAAATAACTGAATATAAATAGGGATGCACGATATTGGATTTTTGCCGATATTTTTCAACTAATTTTGGTCGATAACCGATACCGATATATTTCCTTTTGTTTGGAAACAACACCAAGTCTCTCATGTGCAGAAATTATAAGCAAATTATTTTTAATTTTGGTTAGTTTTTAACAAGAATTATTTGTTAGAAATAAATAAACAATAACATAATTATTTTATAATGACAATACAATGAAGATTTGAAAATTAATAAACTATATTCAATCTCTGTATTTTTTTTTTCCAGAAAGATGCAGTTGTAACATTAACATTTTATTTTAAGAGTTAACATTTGTATAGCAAAAGAGTTGTAAAAATTGTGAAAATCTTTTAGAGCTCATAATTTGTTTAAAAAAATATAACATATTACACATTAATGAATAAATCAGTATATATAAAATTATTTAAAGTGTCGTTTTTATTCATGTAAGCTATAGCTTCTGACCTTTAAATCAAAACATACTCGCTATTTTATGACATCAATTACTGCTTTATTTAATCAGAAACACAGTCTAAATGTTATCTGTGTATTTTGCTTTCATTTTATTAGAAGTAGGCCAACAGCGCAATTACTGTTAACTCTATCACACACCTAACAAGTGATTCTGTACATGCTTTCACAGATTAAATGCAGCGAAACAGTGAATCTAATCATCATTAAGGCAAATCTTTGCTTCAAGAATGAGCCACACTGTTGATGTGATCTAATCATTAGCACACCATGAGCACATGTGAGTTAACGTATTCCTCTTATCGGCAAGACATATCGGCATAATTTTTCATATCGGGCCGATGCCGATATTTACATTTAAAGCCATTATCAGCCGATATCGGTCCGATAATATCGTGCATCCCTAAACATAAACATAGGAGCCTGAGAAAAATGATCATTTTAAAGGAAAATTTAAAATGGCACTTTTGCATTTGAACTCTTCGTATGAACTGTTACATAACTTTTAGTTTGAACTAGAAGAGCAGTTTCCCACCTGAGGTCGTGGCACTCGATGTACTAGCTCCATTCAGATAGAAATGATTGCTGAGGTTCAGGTCTAACCGTGTGACCGTCCGACGGTTGCCATTTTTGTCGATGACCTCTGTGTCGACTTTGGGCTCGTCTCTCGAGGAACGTTTATTTCCATCTTCCTCAGGCAGCAACACAATCCGGTGGTTAATTTGGGGACTCGGAAGTTGCGAAGACAGAGGTGATAAGACAGGAGACATGCTCTGGAGACTGTTGGCAGGAGGATAAGACACGTTGAAGAGCCCAGAGAGAGAGCTTGATGTAGGGCTTCTGCTCCAGGGATGAAGCTTAAAGCTTCTAGAGTTGGCGTCAATGGTTTTCTCAAAGAGCTTGATCTCTTCTTGTCCAGCTTGCTGGTTGCGGTGATCCACATCCAAGCTGGAACCAGATACAAGTTTCTCTTTGGAAGCCGTATGGTTTTGTTTTGCAGCCACATCATCCCTTCTCACGTCTCTTTTATTGGTTTCCAAACGTCCGAAGGTTGATTGACCTCGTTGGTTTCCCTCAATATTCCCATTTCCCACTGGTTTCTCGTACTCCAAAGTGAGCTGGCTATCAAACTCCGACGGATCCATTTCGGATTCAAAAGAATGAGGCTCTTCCATAAAATCCCAGCCGTGATCGTGGGCGATCTGGAAGTGTTCTTCCATTGGAAGAAAAGGCTCGCTGGAGACGCGTACATAAGAGCCTGACCCTGAAGCATCCCGGCCACGGAAGGAGATTGGAGTTTTGGGTGCTTTCGGAGAAAACTCAGATGCTCCACTTTGCACCTTCTTCTTTATCCTACTCTGCGAGAACTCTTCAGCGCTGTGCATCTTCTTAGAACCCAGCATCTTCAGCTTACGAACTCTTGAAGCTGCTCTCTTATGCTCTGGGGACAGAGAAAAAGCGGTGCTAACATCACCTTCCCCGTATCCTTCCAGGAGCTTTCCATCCTGGTTTCCCATTTTAATCCCATCTGCGCAGTCGCTGCATAAAGACAGGAGGTCCGTCAGCAGCTGATGGTGTTCTGCGGTGAGCCAGTTGAGCTGCGCGACCGCTTCTTTTGTCGCCTCGCAGTAATACTGGCCTCTTTGTTTAGCGTCTTCATCCTGAGGCCGGGTTTGGCCAGCTCGTGAGAAACCTCGGGATTTCCTCGTTGGGAAGTAGAGACTGATGAAGCACAGCTCCTGGATGGGTTTGTACAGACGCAGCACCGTGTGCGTGCCTTCCATTACGGGGCCCGTTTTAATTAGTCACACTCCTAAATTAAGCTGGCAGTTGTCTCGTCTCGAGTCGGGTGGACTGACACGTCCGGTGTCAGGCCGATCGAAGGCCTGTCAAAATGACGGAGGCTTTTAATGCGACATAAAGATGCATGTAGAATTGTAGATATACAACCGATTTTGGTCCCACTTTATATTAAGTGGCCTTAACTACTATGTACTTACATCAAAAAATAAGTACAATGTACTTATTGTGTTCATATTGCATTGCAAAACACTTTTGCTGCTAGTGAGGTGGGATACTGGTAAGGTTAGGGACAGGTTTTGTGGTATGGGTAGGTTTAAGGGTGGTTAAAGTGCAAGGGATGAGTCAACAGTGTAATTATAAATGTAATTAAATTAATTACAGATGTAATTACATGCAGGTATTTTTAAAATATAAGTACAATGTAAAAACATGTATGTACACGATAAGTGCATTGTACCAAATGATTGAAATACACAGCAGTTAAGGCCACTTAATATAAAGTGGGACCCAGATTTTTATCTAAAAACCTTATTGACACATTAATTATTACATAGACACAATGCTTTAAAATCCACAACAAAATCAAACGTTTCTTTAAATAATCATTTTGATTAATAGCAATTAAAAATAGGCTTTAAAGTAATCAACAAGTATTAAATTTGGCTTGCAAATGGAATTATTTTTAAAAACACAAACATGCAAAAAAAATGTATACACTAAACTTGAAGTTGTAATTTTTTTGATTTTGAAGTTGCAAATACAAATATGACATTTTACAAGAAAATACTATTTTAGTCTTTCTACTTTGTTTAATTATATGCATTAATTGCTGATTCTCTTTATTCATTTGTGAAATTTACTAGCAATTTCTGAGTAAATTTGTTGTTTTTCAGAGAATAAAATTAAAAGTAATTTTTAAAAGTAACCTTTGTACAATCATAAGCAAATATTGTCATAATCAACAGACTTATCTTGTAATATTTCACTGTAAGACATGGTTACAGGCCAGAAAATAAACTGTGGAGATGCTTTGACAAAATATTTATGAATGCACATTGACTTTTTTTTTTCCGTTTTTTTTTTCAGAGTACAAATTTAAAAGAAATTTTTAAAAGTAACCTTTGAATGATCATATATTGCATATATATATATATATATATATATATATATATATATTGCATTTATCTTGTAATAGTTTTTGCATCGTAGCTGGGGTCTTACAACTCTTTGCCAGACATGTTTAGAGGCCAAAAAAAAACTGTGGCGATGCTTTGGCAAAAATATCCATGAATGCACAACTAACAGTGGGTCTTTTGATAATGTCATTCAGTACGCTTTATACTGCTAAAGCCTTTGAACTGTATGCATAATTATTTAAATAAGCAGTTGAGTGAGTAAAGTACCCTTCATTATGAGCCTCATAATAATCAGCCATCACACACACATTATAATACACTTTAAAATAATGTGAGCTCATGCATAAGCTGCAGTGAATGTCCCTTTAAAACATGACATGACAGTTCAGCAATGATCAAACCAAAACAAATTAGTATCTTATATCAGTGCATTATAGGAGAGGTGCATTGCACAGTGGCAGTGAATAGTCTGCACTATAATGAGCATCATTTATTATGCAGAAAGTTATTTTTGCACTGCTGCATCATTGATGCTTTAAACATTCACTGCATTTCGCACAGCCACGCGATCACTTTGCATTCAACAATGCATCTTTAATGTTGCTAAAATATGATTACGATCAATTGCATTTGCATGACCTTTTCATATCTATAATAAAACACAGCATTAAGTTCTGAGTCTTTTTTTGCTGCTGTTCGTCCAGCACTATCTCATCCGCATTAACACATAATTTCAGCCTAAATTAACGTGTTTGATTTCAATAATCGAGTGTTATATGAAGTTAATAGTGCTAAACTCACCCAGTTGAGGTGCATGACGGATCCGCGTCTCTCTCTCGGAATAAAGTGCGTTCTGGAGGACAGCGCGCTCAGCCTGTGATTGACAGGCGCGCAGACCAGTTAGAGGCGGCAGCGTTTGTATCCGCGGCTGTGATTGGTTGGCTTCAAGGTGGCCCCGCCCCCATCAGAAGTGTGTCATAAAGCAAAGCAGCAGTGCTGCAGAATATCAGCAAGACAGCAGTATGGACTTAAAGGGGACAGAAGACAACATACTCCTTTAACCCTCAAGCATCCTTCGTATAGCAGTGGTCGTTCGTGGACAAATGTCCAATTTTTATTAATTTTTTTAATAAATGTCATATCACTGTCTTCGATCAAATAAAAACTATCAATTTATGCAGTTTTTTGTGATTTTTGAATTTATTTACTTCTAAAAGTACCATATTTTTAATGTAAAATGTGCTTATTTTTATGTTATGTTTAATATTTCTTATACTTCAGTAAAAAAAACAAAATAATTCCAGTAAGGTGAGTTTGGTGACATCTGGTGATATATGATGGTATAACAATATCAAAAGCCACTATATGGCTGCATATAGGCTGAAATCTATAAGCCATTGTTGTAATGTACAAGTTAAAAGTGTAGAATAAAAAAAACTAAAAGCATTTGTGTTGGGTGAGACTATACAAAGATGGCAAAATATGCTTACAGACAAATCTGACCATGCTATAACGAAAGGACAAAGTAGGAGACAGCGTAATCATTTATTTCTAACAAAAAAACAACAATTTTCAATAACTAAAAAAAGTAAAATGGAACCAAATGGTGCCAAACAGGTAAGAATAAACAATAAACCTAACAAGTAGCATGTTCCAGACATGTTTTTGTTGACATTTTCATCAATAAATCTTGCAGTAGGACTTTGATCTGACTTTGGTGTGCGTGTGTGTGTGTGTGTGTGTGTGTGTGTGTGTGTGTGTGTGTGAGTGTTTCCCTTCATTTATGTGTATGTATGATCTGCATTGTGTTGGATTTGTTGATTTTTATTGGACAATTTAAAAAAAATGCTCAGAATTGTAGTATTTCCCATTCATTTCCTATGGCTGCCCATTTTTGTCCACGAAGGACAAATTAAGGAGTTTTTTTTTCCAACCACTTAAGTCTACTGCTCAGATTAAGTAAACTATTAAAAAATAATAATAAATAAATAAAGATTTTGCCCAGATTTGTCCCAAAGGATGCTTGAGGGTTAATTCAATAAGTGCTTAACGTAAACAGAGAACATCTATCGATTTATCTATTAAATAATTATATTAACGACTAGATATCCCACAAGGTTAGTAAAACCTGAAACCATCTGAATGAAAATGAAACGCGGAAACGTTTGAGTGCGGGTTAAAAGATGACTACCTCATTATAAAACCACAGAAACTTTAAAGGAATAGTTCACCCAAAAATGAAAATTCTGTTATTAATTACTCACCCTCATGTCGTTCGCTCCAAACCCGTAAAACCTTCGTTCATCTTTACAACACAAATTAAGATAGCCTATTTTTGATGCAATCCGAGAGCTCTCTGACCCTGCATTGACAATAGGGCTGTCAAATAAAAATTTGCATTTCGAATATTTGTCGAATTCAAAATAAGAAGGCAAAAACATTGCATTCGAATTTCAGGTGTGCATCAGGCAGCATTAGATGCGACGACGATGTAGGTGTCGTTGCATTTGAATGCTTTTGTTAGCCTATCCAGCTGAAACCACAAAAAGCGGCGATGCTCATTCAAAATATTGCGGAAAAAGAGAACATCAATGCGGAGAAGATCTACGGCAAAACTGAAACCAAGCCGTTCACACAGAAGGCATATTTATTGCTTTTTCTAGAGGGACATCTATCACCATTGCACTCGTGTCTCGCACAAGAGAGCCGCATGTTTAGAAAGCCATGTAAAATTAATGTAAGACTAAGTTCAACTTTAAAAAATATCATGTCTCGAGACTTTATGGTGGCTTTTCCCCATTCCACTTCATCTCATGTTTTTAAATGAAAAAAATCGTTTTCGGTCCTTTGTATTAAACTATACATACATACATACATGCATGATGCTGTTTTGTTTCTAATTGTTTAAGCAACTTAAGCAACATTTACATTACATTTAGTCATTTAGCAGACGCTTTTATCCAAAGCGACTTACAAATGAGGACAATAGAAGCAATCAGAATCAACAAAAGAGCAATGATACGCAAGTGCTATTTATATTTGGTTTATAAACATTATTTTAAATATTATGCACTTTGTTCAAAGATGGCCTTGTTATGTTATTACTTTGAATAAACGTGCATTAATAATATCTTGCTCAAGTCGCCCTCATGTGGCCTTAGGAGAGAAGCCAAAAGCTTTTCCCCCAACTGAAATAATGCCGTTTAAATTCGAATATAATTCGAATATGATCATATTTCAGTACAAAATTCGAATTTAGTGTTTCATCCATTTTTTCAGCCCTAATAGACAGTAAAGCAGCTGAAATGTTCCCAGACCCAGACTTTGTTAAAATAGTCTATCAGTGGTCCAACCATAATTTTACGAAGCAATGAGAATACTTTTTGTGCGCAAAGAAAACAAAATAATGTCTTTAACACCTTAACTGTCCCAGGAGAGAAGAAATCATTGAATGAAGATGTTATTTTTGTTTTATTTGCACACAAAATGCATTCTCCTAGCTTCGTAAAATTACGGTTGAACCACGTCACATGGACTATTTTACAGATATCCTTGCTACGTTTCTGTAGCCTGGGAACATTTCAGTTGCATTGCTGTCTATGGAGGGTCAGAGAGCTCTCGGATTTCATCAAAAATATCTTAAGTTGTGTTCCGAAGATGAACGAAGGTCTTACGGGTTTGGAACGACATGAAGGTGCGTAATCAATCACAGAATTTTCATTTTTGGGTGAACTGTCCCTTTAAGACTGTTGTTTTTTTCATGTCAGGTTGAAGTGACAAAGTGATATTTAGCCCCTGGAATGTGAATTGTACCAAAAAACGTGTATTTTAACCCCCGGAACTCGATTTTTACCGGGGGACCTCTCTCAAAACGCGATTGGGCTGGTTTTGGGC